TAACCTCATTTTTTAAAACTCATTTTCAATAACACATTCTCATATAAAATAATATTATACGTAAATCAAAAACCTTTTTTTTTAAAAAAAAATTTTCGAACCACACACTTCAAAAAAATCATTATTCCAAAGCTCATTTTATTTTCATTCAAATGGAGTCCAAACAAGGACTTAAAAGAACCTTACAATTGAACCGATAATAATAATGAATATACGAAAAAAATATTTTAGAAATATATGTTTCTAGGGGTGGGCGTTGTCTGGTTTGGTACGGTTCTAACGAGAATCGAATCAAACTCGAAATTTTTGCGTATCTAGTAAGTGAAATCGTCGGGTCCAAATTTAATTATTGAACCACTCGGGTTTGACTCCATTCGGTTAAGTTCGGTCCCTAGGTTTTGTACTATGATTATTTCTTTTAATATTTACAATACTATATTTAATTTAACTAATGATATGTTCAATTTTAACTTTTACAAAATAACGTAGTCTAATTTTATATGTCTTTTGCGTCTCTTTTTGTTGGGTTTTTCATAGATTTGATTGATAAAATCACAGGAAAATGACGATAGCGAGCTTACACTTATTAAGAGAGGACATGTCGAGCTTTAATTATATTTATCCAGAATAGTAAAAATGACAATACGGTAAAATAACAGAATTCAGTAAAATTAAGGTCAATTTGATTAAGTTGGGCTTGAACTGAAAATTAGAAATAGGAAAATCATATTTTTGGATTTGAGCTAAATTAATTAGTTAGCAAATTTATTTAGAGAAAAAATAATTTGAGTTATTTAAAACAAATAAATTTAAAAAATTAGAGAAATTCAGTTCTAGATCTAAAATCGATAATCAAACTAAACTTGTTGGTTCTCAAATTAGATAACCGTTCGGGTATTTAACTTAAAAAGAATTGCTAGGTTCGGTTCGGGTCCGATCGATCTGATTCGGATCAAGAGTTTTGTCCAACCATATATGTTTCAGATAAGTCCTGAAATGAGAAGGAAGACTAGAATGCCAACATGGGTCTATCATTGAATTCATTCGACTCAATGGTATCCATTTTGGGATTTTCCACATCTAATATCAACAAATAATGTGACTGTGTAAGTCGTATGATTTAACAAAATAAAAATTAATTAGAATTTTGAAATTGTCTAATTTTTTGAGAACTTGAAAATTGTTTAGCTGTATAAAATTATAAACCAATTATTTAGTATATGATTTTTTGATTGTTTGGCATATATTATTATATTTATTAAATGGTCTTGAAATAATATTAATAATTTAAATATGCATTTTTCTATCCTTAAAATTAAGTCCTTGTTTGATCTACATTATTTTAAAATACATTTTTCTCACTCTTCTTCTATAAAATAATATTACATGCAAATCAAAATATTTTTCTTATTTTTTTATCACACATTTTCTATCAATTTACTATTTCAAAATACATTTTCAGCCAAAAAATAAGTCTCAAACATGCTCTAAATTTAAGTGGTGTGATTTTCTTGCTGTGGAATTTACTTTGCTGAGTGGAAAGCACATAAAGATTTCATTACTTTTAATTGTAACGTCATCAATTCCATTAAGTGGTTGAACAGAAGGCTAACAAAGTGGCCTATACGCCAATGATGTGATTGCTCCGAAGTGATGGGCAAAGTTGAACGACCGTGGTTGAAATTTATCCAATATCTAATGTTGTGACGGTTCATTACTTTTTAATTGTCACGTTATCAGTTTTGTTAAGTGGTTGAACAGAAGGCTAATAGAGTGGCCTAAATGCCAGTGATGCGATTACTCCTAAGTGATGGGGCAAAGTTGAGTGACAACGGATGAAATTTACCCATTATCTAATGTTGTCAAGAGTGAAGCTTATTGGTTGGCTGTGGATGGTTGTAATAGGAACTTATTATACCTGCTCTGATAATGGTATTGAGATGCCTGTTCGTTCGTGTATAATTCTTCCTTCAATGGCCGTTAAAATAGCAGGGAATCTAACAGTTCAAGTACAGTTGATATAGTTGAACCACTTGTCCAGATGATCGAACTGGAACTTGTTAACTGTTAAAATTGAAACAATATTAGCTGAAGAGACATGGAGGAGAAAGATTAAAAATTTCAGGAGAAAGCAACCTCAGGAATAATTGGAGCATCGTATGGAGAAAAAGGAAATAGAACTAAAAACAGACACTCTGGAAGAAAACTAGAATGAGGAAAATTAATCACAGAAATTGCAGTAGGAAGCAAAATAATTGAGTAAAGCTTGGATTAAAAAAAAAAAAAAGAAAAAAAAAAAGGAAAAATGAACACAAATTGCAACTAAGCATTATAAATTGATAGAATAAAACACTCTATGCAATTCCTTCAAACAAATCTGGAAGCCTTAATCAGCTTAAACCATGACTGCTTAAACACACTAAAGAAAACCCTTTCTGCGCGTTCCATATACACATTAGAATAGACAAGATATTAACTTCGAAACCCTTTCTGTGCGTTCCATATACACATTAGAATAGACAAGATATTAACTTCGCTTTCTTCTTTAATATTGTCACAACTGTTCAATCCCACTAGCCAAACATCACACCCTTCGAATAAATTTATCACTTCACTCCTCAGTTTGGCTTGAAAAATTTAAGCTTGAGTCCACTGTTAACAATACTCCAAATTCCCCCCATAGAGAAGGACAAGCTAAATGCAATCCCCAACCAACCAAGAATCCAGTTCAAGTACCAATTGAAGCTGTACTTTGTTGGCTTTTTAATAAGAACCCACATGAAACACGGGTATGCGAAGGTGACTGGAAGAGTGAGACCTCCTAATAAACCAGCAAGGCTTGATAGGAACGGGAGTGCAACCCCTATAAATAAATTGACAAATCCGTAGAACACTCTGAAACCAGAGCGCACCCAAATTGAGCAAGGACGATTGGTACGGCTTGTATAGCTGGCTTCAAAACTGTCGAAAACTGGCATCGAGTATATCTGGAAACTGCTCAAGCAGTTACACACTACAAGAAGAAATGTCATTGCAAGAAGGCCCCTCGAGATATCATGACTATGAAATCCAAATAACGCGTTAAGAATTCCTCCCGAAGGCATCTGTAGGAAATAGAAAAAGGTAAATATGTGTTAAGCATGCGTAGAAGTCAGTTTAAAGAGATCTTTGAGAATACTCTTTACTAGTTTTGTTGGGGATAAGTGTATCTGTGAAGTGAGATACTTCTTTTTCTTATTTTCCACATCTAGGATTTGACTTGTATCATGGATACTAATAGGAACCCGACTATCATAACAAGGAAAGGTTTGTGCAGAGGGGAAGAAGCAGCCAAAATTGGCACAAAAATATCATTTGACTTGCCAATTCTAAAATGCAAAGTTCCATCATGGATGACAAATTTCTGGGATATTTTATTATTCAACCTTAGTTTCTTCTAAAGATTAACACGACTGGTTAGTGTCATAACCGTCACTGTGATGGCTTCAGTTCATACGTATAATTCGAGTCATGTTCCTTTCAAACTGACAGATAAGTGATAAAACTTACAAGGTTTCCATAAGCCCAAAACCCTCCAATAGCAACAGGGAATAAGCACATAGCAATGAAGAAATAGGCAGCTTTTGCACCCCTCCACATTGGCACATGAGCTGGATTCTTGAATGTCGATGGCATTGTTGCCTGAAAGATGTCACAAAGAACTCTTCAGTCATAATTGTAAGAAAACTGCATCAGTTCCAGGTGAAGTATTTCATGATTTCTATAGATGTATATAGAACATAGAAAAATTATAAGTACATGTTTGATACACAGTACTAGACATGACTCTATCCATTGCTCCTCACCAAGCATGTTGCAAATGTAAATGAGTGTGTTTATGCATGTGCGAGAGGAAGGAAGAGAGAGGGAGAGAACCTGAATTTCGAGGACTAAATTGTGGCCTCTAAAAGCAAATGCTATGATACCAAGCGCATTTAAGATGGAAAACACAGAAGCTGATGCCGAAGGCAGTGAAAGTGGTTTGTACGAAATTGTGGGTGGTCTAGGTTGGCTTACAGAGAGCAACCACACCATGGTCGAGTATGTGATGGCAGTCACTGCCCCTACCAGCGAAAGTCCGGCAATTGAATTGAGGTTTGGAAGCTGGGATAACACGATGCACAAGGAAGTAAATACCAAATACCACTCAACAGTTGTCAGAGGATTAGACGAGCAGTGTGGACCGCAAACTATCTGAAAGAATAGTTTCATGGTCTCTCCTCCCACGAGAATCAAAGCTGTTGCAGTCCCTGCTGATAGGTAAACAGTGGGGAAAAGAGCAAGCCAGACACCCAATCGCTCCCCTAAAATCAAGAGATAACAGTGAATATTTTTCAAATATTCTGAAATCTATATAATATTCATGTTGGATAACCGAGAGAAAAATGTCCCGAGATTGTAGTTTTGGTGGTAGTGAACCATCTTCAATTTGAATTTTTATTTTCTCAAGCGCACGGCGGGGAAAAAATAAAATATCTCCCTAAGCATAATTTCATAGACTCTTTTGATTAAAAATACACGATTCTTTAGATGACATAACAAGAGAATGGTAAAATGATCATCTAACCCTTATGTCTGCCATGTCATCTTCACGTCCACTTATCAATATCCATTAACCTTAGGTTTTTATTTTTGAGTAATATATCCATTCAGATTTCTCGTCACAGGAATCCACAAAATATGCATATCTATGACTTTATACGAGGCTCATTATGTTTACGGCAATTGTCATCTGTAATTGGAACTCACCAAAGGCTGCTTCGGCTAGTTCCACGTATCTATTGTATCTCTTCCCAGGAACTGCTTCATGTAGCTGAACTAAAAGCCATAAAGTGTATAGTTGCCAGACGTAGGCTATAATTAAAGAAATTATTCCCCAACTCCTGCATGAAAAAATAACAATAACTGAAAAATCAATTTGTTATGAAGCGCAAATTTTATTGCTTAATTTTTTTGGATTTATGGAATTTAAAAGAGGATACTCATCTTACATGTTCTATTGAAATAATTATCTGTTGTAACATAGATAGTTGTATCATAAGTGAGTTGTTCTGAGTAAGGTTCGAAGCTTCTTTGATAGTATTTATAAATGTGTAGGTTTATGTTTACCAATGAAGATAACTAATTGAATGCAACGAAGTTGATAATGAGGTCTCTCATCAAGTAAAATGTCTCACAAAAATAAGATTACCAATTGCAAATATGTAATTGAAGTATATACTAGTTGAATTCCACAGTTTTTGATTGACCCCTCATCTATATGGTGTGTGAAATCCTAGGTTACTAAAGCATGTACTTCTTTTAAACAAATAAATTTTTATGTAAAACTTGCGCAATTTAAGAACTATGTTGAAGATGAAGAATAAAATAAATAAATGCTTCTCCTCTCTATTTGCTTAAATTTTTGGATGAGTTGGTTCAACACGATACATAGAAGTCAAAGGTCTTGAGTTTAAGTCGATCACTAGTACTTTTTTCCAGTATACTGAGTTCAAGTCGATCCCTTGTACCTTTTTTCAGGATAAAAACAACAGAGAATTTTGAAGATAACATACAATTCCCTCTGTTATACTAAAAGTTTCAATATAAAATGGTTTAAAAAAGGGACCAAAAAGTGAAAATATTCGATGAATAATATCTCAAATTAGTAGAGGAGAAAGAAGAATGGATATATTTAAGAATCAGTGGGAAGAGAATATAAAGAAAATGAAATGCAGCCAAGGTTTGAGTCAAGATGGAGCCGTAGCCAACTGTCTTGATTATTTAAAGGCAGAAAATAATCATGGAATTAGGGTCCATTATAAGTGGATTATTTTGAAAAAGCAAAAGGTGAAAGAAGGATCTTTCTTACTATGATTCAAATCAAATGCATGATCACATTAGATAAGGATCAGTAAAAGAGAAAAAGAATATCAGTTGCAGACCCGTAAGAATTTGGGAGGGATGACGAAATTAATTAGAAACAGTTTGTTTTTACATTAACAAGGGTATAATTGTATAAACTTGTGAAAAGAAATTGAAGGGAACAACTGCTATCAAGAAAGAGTCCTAATGAGACGAGAGTAAGCATTAATTAAATGCTAGGAAATAAGAAAATACACCCATAAATTCAAGCAATCTTGAACAGAAAAGCTTCTGCATATGAAATTGAAATCCCTCGCTCGCAGTCACCAGCACTTAAAAAACAAAATCAAAGCAATTTTAGAAGATAATTTAATTTAATTCAAGTTCTAGTATCATACCATCCAAGAAAAGAGAAAGCAACAGGCAAGACCAAGGCCTGGAATCCAACACCAGCATTCAGATTATGAAAAGCTGCATAATGTGCATTCCCATTTCGTGATTCTGTAATCGGAAGCCAAGCATCTTGAGGATTCAGCTTCGTCAAATGCCCCACTTCCTCCAAATACCCCTTCATATTAGTCAAAACCCTCTTCATGGGTGTCCCAATGGGGCTCAAAAACCTCGGCGAAATGAACGAAGTCGGAGTCCATGACTTGGCCGTGCTGGATTCCTTCCTCGGCGACCTTTGACAGGACGGCGTCAGTATCTCCGGCGTCGACGCACGTGGGGTGGCAGGTATTGATATTAGTTCAGTCTCTGGCCTTTCTTCCATTGCTAATTTGCAAATAACAAGGGAAATAATAATTGAGGTAATGGATATCCAGGTAATGGTTCTGTTTTTTGTTTCGTTTTCTCAGTGTGGAGTGGTCAGAACTCAGAAACTCGGACAAGTGAAGAATAATTGAACTGCTGACTGACTAATCATGCAAATGGTGAAATTATATGTTACAAGGGGGCCATTTAAAGGACAAAATTATGTGCACATACTTTCTATTCACCTTTAAAAGTTGATAAAAAAATTTAAATTAAATTCAACAATTAACGATAAATTCAATTATATATTTTATTAATTTTTTATCAAAATTTACTAAAAATATTGTTTTTAGAAACACCAAATACTGAATAG